ATAATGTTAGAAAAGAAAATATTTCGCTCCAGTGAGTTGCAAAGAACTCTTCATTCGAGGAGCTGAAAAGATATAGTTATTCTGTTACTGTGAATGGAATTATTTCTCATTTTAAGTGATCTTTTAAACAGTCAAAAGCTGTTTTCTAAAATTACAACTACCAGGTGATACAGCTGAAGGGCTATATATAATAACTTGCCCTGGTTGACAGGAAGAGTGGTAAGTTCCTGTATGCTGAGATAGATGTGTTAATGTACATTGAAGCAAACCAAACAAGCACAACTCCCACACACTCCAGAACCTCAAAACGCTCACTACTCTTGTAGCAATCAAATACTTAACAAAGAGCACAGAATAAATCAATATTCCTCCTTCCCTTAAACGTTATCACTTATGCATGCTTGTTCTCAGTGACTCTTGTTAAAAGAGCTACATCCTTCTTGAGAAAAGGGGTCCCCTGATGACGACCGTCCTGTGAACAGCACAACCTCTCAAGCCACGCCAAAGCAGGTCCATCACATATTTGTGAGACTCATCTTCTGTGAGGTGACACTGTTTGCAGATGTCTTGCCTACTGTGCCTGTGGGACTCTGCAGTTTCTGGGGCAGTTTTCCTCCTGTTGATGGGAATTCGATTTGCTCCAGACCTGGCTGATATGGAAGTTTTTCTACTAAAAATCGTTTACTATCTCGTAGCAATTTGGCAGGTCATTCTCCACCTCATCCCTCTGGAAAGGCCATACTTTGCAGTGATAAGTTCTGAGAGGATAATAACAGGCCTAATGGTTAAGTCTGTAAATGATGTGCTTCAAATGATGTGCCTGTTTTCCTACCATAATTGATTTTCTGAAGTATGTCCTGACTTAAATACAGGCACCTTCATGGCAAGAAGAGTTGTCTTACTGTTTTATTCAGATTACTGGATAGCTAGAGAGACCTGTGTCTGTATTTACATGGAGCCAAGGGTGAGCGTTTCCAAAATGACTGTGATAGTTGAGGATGAGGAAGAAGGTCTAGTTCTTTACAGATTGCAGCTTTAAGGTGGCCACTTTGGATGTCCAGCTATATTCTGTGAGGTATTAGAAAGCTTTTAGAGCTGGCCTTCATACTTTCCTCATTAGATGCAGTTGCCGTTAGAAGCCCTTTTGGAGTGCTGTTTTTCTCCATCAGTGTGTGGCTGAATACGAGGAAGCCAAATTGGTCATATCCAGTTACTGCTTCCTGGATGTAGTACACTGAGCTTGTAATTTTTGTATCAGCATTTCTAAGCAGAAAGAGTTCTGCAGCTGCAGCTCTCTGCTGATATCATTCCTTCGTGTTCATGCTATAGCTCATCCTTTTCAAATCTTCAGTGTCTCAGTTAAATATCCCTAGAGACGTACAAGTGTCTGAGTGTGCTCCTCTCTCTGTAATTTTGTAATTCTGCAAGACTGGGAATTAAGTTCCACCAAAAAGCTCTTTCTAGAAGATTGCAAGCTCATGAGACTATAGATTTGTAATTTTCCTTATTCTGAGCATGTGCTGGCAGCACTCTGGAGTTCCATGCTCTCAGTGATTTCTTTCCCTGCTGCAGACATAATTACATTATGAAATATTTGAAAAAATAGTCCTTTTAGATTGTTCTGAAGCATATTTCTAGAAGCTTCTACATAAAAATTATACTTTCTAACAGGAAGAATAATCTATTGTTTAAAGCACCTGGTCTCACTCTGGATTTGGCAAATATTTCAAGATTGTTCTGGAAAATTATTGGCAAAGAATTCTGTGTGTTAGAATCAGAAAAGATGTTGCTTAACTTTATCTCCCAATAGTTAATGCTGGCAAATGAAAGGGAAATAATTTTACACTGAACATTTAAAAATAGATTCAGTGTCTTTGTGTTGGAAAGCACAAGGGAGCATTAAGCTCATCTTTTTTTCTCTCTCTCTCTAGGTTGTAAAACTTGGTAGCAGTCTGTCTTTTAATATTAAAATATTACTTCAAGTATCTGTTGTGCGCTTTTAGTCTGGATCTCACCATTATGTGTTTGCATGCCAGTAGCGATCCTTTTGCCTGTTTCTGATTCGGTTGCACTTTCCACCTCATGGACCAGTGCTCGGCTGTGAGACTTTGTGAGCAGGAACTTGCACATGTGTGCATTTACAGTCTAGAAAAATGGAATAATCTTACTAATTTTTGTTTTAATGTATTATTTATTCAATAAGCTGTATAACCTATTCTTGGTACCAAGAGTCTTGTGTTTTTCAGTGTCTCTTTCTGTGCATGTGAAAACCATCTAGTTCAAGCTATAGTACTCGCATAATGGTGATTTTCATGTAGAAAAAGAAAATGTTCTGAAAAGTCAGTGACTTTTGAGTTTTTTGCACCATCAAAAGGGTTCATGAGCTGAGTATATGGGTAATCAGGTACTCGAGCTACAAACCAGCATTTTCAGTTTTGGAGCTGGTAAAAAGATGATGTCCATTCCCATGGGAAGATAGCTGCGACACCACGATTTGTCTGTCTAATGTACAGCAACCCTGACTGGGAGTAGGCAGATGCAGTATTTAGAAGGGAAAAGTGCTCCAAAAGCAGTTTGATATCTAAATAGTTCTTGCAGCTGAGACACTTCGGTGGGTGCTCCCGTCAGTAAATTAGCCCCTGTTCAAAATATCGGTAGAAGTTGAGGTTTGCTCTTCATGACTGAGCTGCCTGGAAAGCAATCCTTTGCTTAGTGTTGATATTTTTATAATTTCCAAAATAAAGATTAAACTTTCTGATGCAAGAGTCTCTCCTTTATCTTAGAATGAAGATAACTTAATTCTGGAGAAAAAAAACTCAAAAAAGCCGGAGGAGAGGGTGATTTCTCATACAAACGTGCACAAAACTCCCAACATTCCAGCAACTGTCGGGAGCAGGATGAAATGTGCTCTGATGTTGAACCCCTTCTGCTGTTAGCTCGTGTTTGAGAGACGCTTTGACACTATAATATAGGGTTGCAAATTGGAATTGCAACACCCTGCTATTGGGCCAAGTGATGAAGCAGCGCAATAACTGCTTGCTTGATCTTACCACTCAGTCTTTAATGTGTATGTAAAAGATATCGGGAGCCTTTCCAGGCATCTGTCAGGGTGTTTGATGCTGTTAGATGGGGAACTTCAATCTGTGTGTGGTTAGTGTGTGTATGTTTTACCAGTATTATATACAGTGTGGTAACTACAGGGCAAAGTTTCAGGTTTTATAACAGCTGAGTTTTGTTTATTATTAAAAACTTATAAAAATACTAATGAATCTGGTGGATTATTGCAGAGAATACTGTTCTTACACTCTTGTCACAGGAGTTTCACAGGTAATTGGTCTTGACCTGTATGTCATCTTTAATATTTCATTTGCTCCAGAGTATTATTGCTCACTTCCTTTAAGATGATAGCCAGGCTTTTTGTGCAGCTAAACTTCTGTTTAACCTTGCTATGAAAATGTGACAGTGGGCTAGTTCAGACAGGTTAACATTCATTTGGTAACCAGCCTGCTTAATCAGCCTGCTTCAACCTGCAGCAAATTAGATCTTTGTGAGTTCTAGCAGACAAGTGATAAAGTCATTCTGAATTATGTATAAAAGTAAATGGGGTATTTTCAGTGCTCGTGGCAGTAAATGAAATTTAAGGCTTATGATTGATTCTTGGGTTTTTGTTAGGGATGATTGAAGTTTATTTTACCTTAATGTTTTTACAGTTTAATTAGGAGGATGCTGTATTTCTGAAACACATAATGTGTCTCATTCTGTCCCCCATGAAAACAGTAATCATTTTTATAGGATCTAGAAAATCTTTCACTGCCTTCTGTGTTTCTTCTAAAGGAAGCATTAGAAACAGTATTTTAAACATAGAGCCAGAACTCCATGTTACTGTGAATTGTAAAGAGTTAAATACTTTGTCATTGCCAAAATGAACCAGCTATCTTTATTTAAGAACTATTCACTTTGTAAGTCTAGCCCATGTGATCAAGTCAGGGCTTAGGTGCTTCTGAAGACTCCACTTGTCATCAACCTCACTTGACCAGGACTGATGCACTCTCCAGAAGAGGGCAGAAAGCCAGATAAACGCTCATGCTGTATGAAGAAATGTGTGAAGGTGCTTGAAGGGCAAGGACGGCACAGATGGTTCTGATCGTAGAAGAGTGGACAATGCTTATTTTTAGTCATATTGATTAATACATTTTTAAATGCAATGTAGGATCAGATCTTCAAATATTATTGTTATTTGTTTGCAGACATTTGATAATTTTGTCTTTCAAATGACACTAGTTTTTTTCCATTTGCTGTCTTGCTGGTTTTAAGAAGAGATTTAGGCGTACAGCAACAGGCAGAAGCGCTACTGGCACTGGTGAATGAACATCTCTCTTGTCTGTGCTGGCTGCAGTTTTGCCAGCACCGTTGAGTTTGCGTGTGTCCTTGTTCAAATGAGAAACACGGCGCGTGCCTTTGACATTAATAGCAACCAAGATGGAGATGGACTCTATTTGTTTTTTAAGTAGCCATTGTCATTGTGTGTTTTACAATGTGTGCTGATAAACTGATGTTTCAAGATAGTATTTTTTTTTCAAGATAACTGTTTTTAATTAGTTGTATCAGTACCTATCGTTTTCATTTTGACATTTGCTTACTGATTAGGAAGGAAAAATGTACCTTTACTTCATCAAAGCATACCACTGTAAAAGTTACCATATACAAATAATGGTTCAAACTTCAGTACTGGTTTAGGAGAAAATAACAGTTCAAGACCGTTTTGAGTTTCCCGTTCCATTTAGTTTGTTTTGATACTCTGTGCATACACACCTGTAAAACTCAGTAGATGTTTCTTTGAAAATTTTTGTGTAAGCAATCATTTTAGTTTTTCAGACTGCTTTGTGTAATGAACTCAGTCTTCTGCAGTGCAGTCTTCAGTTTGAATCTCAAAGCAATCTTAAAAAATCCCCACAACCTTCAGTTGAGACTTTAATAAACGATCATTGCTCTGTTTGTAGATGACTCTAGCTGTATCGGGACTGACTTTTCCTTGCCATCGACTTACAGTTGGAAGAAGATCTTCACCCGTACAAACGAGGGAACAGTCAGAGGAGGTAAGAACATCATCTCTATCTTACCAGTATACTCTGGGAAGAAACAGGGAAAGCTCATTTTGCAATGGTCACCATCCCTTCTATGGTCAAATACGTCAGTAGAGTTGCACCTTAAAAGAATCAGTTTATAATTCCTGTGACATGTAATTGTGACAAAGTAAGGAACTGGGTAGATGAGTTGTGGAAGGCAAAGAGGAAAAATAAAGTAAGCAAGCCACAGTAAGCATTGAAAAATACTCCAAATTAAATAGAAAGTTGAAACATAACATCTTTAGTATTAGTAGAAAGAGATATTTGTAAATGGTATAAATTCCTATTTTGTTGCTTCTGACTGTTAAAATTTCCAATACCATCGTCCTTCCTCAAAATGAATTTAATATAAGCAGTTTCGCATTTTCCACACACTTTTCTTACCTTTTGTTTTGAGAACTGTAGCTCGTGAGGTTCATCTTGCTGCACAAAAAGGATGTGGTTTAATCTGTTCAGCTCGCTTGAGTTGGCAGGACATCGCTGTGAGGTATGGTCGGGATGCAGGCCTGGGTGTGTGCTGTTGGATAGTCGTTAGAAGTTCGAGGATGGTCAGACGATGCAGTTCGAGCTATACCTGAACCACTTAATAACTACCTTTTACCCTGCTGTTTTCTCCTGGGATCTACCAGCAAAATTATGGATCACTGCTGCTTTAATTCATTCAACATGCAGTAGTCTAGTGTGCCAAGTTAGGACGATGGGTGCTAAATTTGTTGTCGGAGGTTGCAATGCATAGATAGGTACCTTTCCACGAACTGTCCCCCGCCATGCAAGTATTCCCAAAGTAGATTGTATCTGGATGTTTAAAATTATTGTTAGATTGAGTGACTTTTCTCACTCTTTCTTATGCAGTTAAACCAGCTGAAAAATAGCATTAACTTTGGATAAAATTTGCTCAACTGTGTGTATACAGAGAAGGTTCCTTAGTTGTTTAATGATGCATTTTGTTACATAATATTTCTCTGTCAACCAGACTTCTGTTAAAAATTAGGTAATATTTCTAAAAAGCAGTCTGATAATACTGTATGAAAGGCAGTATATCAAGTGTTTTTATAGAAATGTGTAAGTATTTTTCACTAGGTATGTATTACGTGTTTCACTTAAGTTCCTATCTGTAATGGATTTATGGTGGATTTTGTTTTTTCTTTTTGTGTGGCAGTGCACTGATGTTCATATGGTTAGTGACAGTGATGGAGATGACTTCGAAGATGCTACAGAGTTTGGAGTTGATGATGGAGAAATGTTTGGAGTAGCATCATCTGCCTTGAGGAAATCGCCAATGAGTGAGAGTTTACCATTAATTTCCAATTAACCAGTGAATGTACAGCAGTAGTGAAGGCAGAGAGGTGTGATGGCTCTGCATAAGATAAAGAGAAGTGTCTTTTGAGGAGAATGTTAGAATTGTTTGAATGTCACGTCTGATGGATGTATTGAGTGAAAATTCTGCAAACATAATTGGCAACTATGAAAGGGTCTCCCCATGGAGGAAGTTTTCTAACCTTATGTTTTAGCTTACTCTTGAAGAATAATAATTAAACCTAGAGAAATTATGATCTCGGACCAAATACTCTGCTTCCCTGTTTTGAAAATTCTGCATATTTTGACTTCAGCATCTTTTAGTGGTAAATATTTTTAGTCATTTACATTAAACAAGTTTCTCGGTGATTATTTGCCATTGAATTATGAAAAGGATTGAGCAGGAGCAGTCAGTTACCTCCTATATGCAATTCTGTATACTGTTTACTTTAGGCTTGCATTAGTGTTATTACCTTTGAAGTTTTTTGACAGTAAATACGTGTAATAACATGGAAAACTTTTTAACATTATATATACAAAGTTTAAAAAAAAAAAAAGAAAGAAAGTAAAAGTAACTAGCAATATGATGGGTCAAGTCTTTCAAGCCAATCCTTTCATGTTAATGTATTAAAGTAAGTCCAGAGTGTTAACTCTGAACAAGCGATATATCACATTACACTGGGCCTGAGGATTTTACTGTTTGGAAAGCCTGAATATATTCATGAGAGCGTCTAGAAATTTCATGTCTTTCCAAAGGTTCATAGTTGATAGTCTTTCATGAAATTTATATGGTGTCTTGGTAACCACTTCAGTAAGCTGTCAACGTGAAAACTCTATGAAGCAAATGACCTTGCATATTAAAATCTGTTTCCATAAGGTTGCATTTAATTTATGTTTTTCAATTTTTTAAGTGCCAGAAAATGCTGAAAATGAAGGAGATGCCTTATTACAATTTACAGCAGAGTTTTCTTCAAGGTAAGCTTGCCTAATAACTGCAATTCTTGTTACAGACTAAGTAAAATTTACTAAGTAATGAAAATAAAAATAAACTAAATGTACATATTTTCTTGTGGGATCATAGCAGATTTATGCGTCTAACCTAATCTGATTTATTGTAAGCTTAACTTTGCTAGAACTGTTTCTGAAATAAAATTATTTCTCAGTCCAAATTAGAGTGACAGATTCTTGCCTTATTTAATTTGCCACTAATTAATATAATTACTTAATTATGTAAGTGTCCAGGAGAATGATAAAGACTGATTATGTATACCAATTTTATTTTGATATATAGGAACAGAAAACCTGAAACTGTTTAATACTGAAAAATATATACAGACTTGCAACAAGAGTTTTCACAATAATGAAGTGGTTGGATAACTCTCTACTCTTAAAAAATATAGAAATGCTGCTTTTTAAACTTTCTACCACCGAATCATGCATTGTTAAACAGTTACCACGTTTCATCAAATAGAAGCTGCAAACTAATATACTCAAAGTTATGCGGTTTATATGCCTTCTGTTTTCACTCCTCTGTGATGAAATGTTCATTTATATATGAGATGCATTAATGTGTAATACAAGAATAGCCTTCAATTAACCTTTAAGAATATAATAAGGAGATTAGATAAGTTATGACTGAAAAAATATAAAGAACTTGAGGTGCATGTAAACAGAAGGTTTTTATGATAAATTTTGTAAGGTTAGTTACTTTGAGCTTTTGAATGTAGTGGGACAGATGGCTTTTAAAGGACAGAAGGGAAGTATTTAGAGGTGTATTACTTCATCTTTCTAAAGATTTAGCCAATGCATTATATTTACAGAATATACAAAGAGGTGGAGTATTGAAATTACTTATTTTCAGCATTTTTTATTAATTGGAAATTTTATCTCAAATAGATATGGTGACTGCCATCCTGTTTATTTTATTGGATCATTAGAGGCTGCTTTTCAAGAAGCCTTCTATGGGAAAGCTAGAGATGTAAGTGTGTATTAAAACTACATTTTTAGTATGGGGGGAAATGGAAATCGCTGTAAATGTTTCATCTTCATTTTAAAAAAGGTAAACTACATTTTGGAGTTATCTTGATTTATTGTTTGTGAAGAGCTGTGCTTGTTTAGTTGACTGACTAAAGTACCTGCCTTGGTGGTTGTTGAAATTACAGTGGAAAGCTCATGCTGCTTAATCATTCTGGGTGTATTTTTATTGGAATCCTTTAGTCATCAGAGCTTCTTTTTTTTCCTTTCCCCCTCCCTTTCCTTTTCTTCCTGCAATAACGGTGTCCTAGCACCAGATAAGTGTCTGCAAGTCTTGTGGTTGACAAGTTCAACGTTGCATGTTGGTAACTGCTTTGGAGGATGGCTAATGAAATTGTAAATTTAAATTGAAATGTGTCTGAAGTACACTGCACTTTTTTTCCTTTGTACAGCCTTTATCTGCCAAGTAAATTCCAGTACTAAGGTTTGGTTATTTAGTTTTCATGTACATCCAACCAGACATCTCAGGTTTCTGTTATTCCATGCACAGTTTTAAAATCAGTATTTTAATAAAAATAGAATGGGGATAGTTTATTTAAGTTTTGGTGACTTGAATTCACTAAGGAGAAACCCAAACCCCTGCATAATTAAGCATAGATAAAGCTGAAACACAAACAAGAAAATCATGCTGTTTAAATTTACTTTTTATCATCTAGGTAGATATTTAATTTTAAAATGAAGAGAATGTTTTGGCTTCCTGCAGCTATTGGTGTTGTAGGGAACAGCTATGTTATGTTAGGGGCTGTTATGAGAAGTGTGCAGTGTTATGTATCCACACTGTAGCTCAAGTTAACACGTGCTTAACATGTGTGCACAGATAGTTTTCTTGCACTCTAAATTTAGTGAATATTTTCATATCTTGGGCAGATTTCAGAGCATAAATAGATACAGACTAATTCAATGCAAACTATTAGTTCATAATAACTCATTAAAGTGGACTTTAATGCATATTTAAAAGAAATAAAATTATTAATTCAACAAGAAAAGTGAATTAGGAAGTTCACTTTGTGTCATTTCATCAGAAATACTTGACAATGTGTCAGTATAATAATGGACAAGAGCCCATTAGGAGCTTTCATAAATATTATATCTATACATGTGATATTTATGCAGTGCAATTATTTAGGTTTTTAATACTCAAAGTACTTAAAATACTACTTACATAGTGCATCTGAAATTCTTAGCAACTTACATTTCTAATATTTTGCAATGTATTGATACCAGATCCTCATCAGGATAAAGTTATATCTTTACGACGGTATTATTTCTGTAGCTCTTTCTTCCCCCGCACCGCCCACCCCCAAATATTGCCTTAATTTTTGAGAACAATTCCCTACAACTGCCCTGTGGAATGACACTTTTATTGTAACATTCTGATTTAAAACAAAGGACAATGTATAAATGCTGTTTATTTTTAGTGCATTTTTCCTGTTACAGACAAGTTTTTTCAGTCCTGCCTCCTGGAATTCGTAATTGAGTAAAGAGATAAATTATTTTATATCTTTATAATTGCATTTAATAAAATAATATGTGTTTCTGTATAAGAAAAAAAAGCTTAGGAGAAATTGCAACCTGTATGTCTTGTCTTCTGATTTATACTATGCAGGGCACTTAATTTTACCAGGGCAACAGATGAGCTTCAGGCACCAGCATTCTTCACTTGAAGTGAGAAATTGAGTTCCAAGAGTAAATAAAAACAAGATTGAAGGTTTAAATCCTCTGCTAGGCTTTTTGAACTTATATACTCATTAAATGTTTATTGGAGTGGTGGGATTACGAAGGATTTGGGTAGCTTCATCAACTGGTATATACTTAATCACTAAGTAAAACACTACATTTGATAGAGTGTTTCTCACGATGCCACACTCAATCCATCTTAATGAAAACCGCTTCAAACTGATTTAATTTGAGAGCACTTGGCAGCTTGAGTGCTCAGAGATCTTAGCCTTTTCTTGACAAATTCTCAACGCTGTCCAGAGCAGAAGGTGCACTCTTAGAGTTTGGATCTAGTGAGACAGCCATCAGCTATGTTTTTAATTTATATTGTGGGTAGTTTTTCAAAAAACCCCAACCATTATACATGAATTTTTTGCAGAAATATTTTGATTTGGGTTATTTTAAGAAAATTAACTTATGCCAGAACATGTGTTTTAAACACAAATTGTGAGTTAAAATTATTTTTAAGAAAATAGATGTTCTGTTAAATCTTAATGCCTTTTCATGTGTTGGAAAGGATGGTGATTCATAGTTGTTTGAGAAAATGTTACTTGAAAAAGAAATACCTTGTAAAAAAAGTTTAGATGTTTGTCTGTTACTTATGTTTTGTTTAGCTTTTATTATCATAGCATTTCATTTTGATTCTTTAGATTGTTAAGACTGACATACATGATGGGCATCTTTTTTCCTTTAGATCAATTGCCACCATGATAGTGCCAGTTTTAGGTAGGAGGGATGGAAAAAGGTCAAATGTAGCTCTGCTTTAAACCTGTATATCTCTTTAGCACAAAAATACAATAGCCAAGATATAGAGCTCTGCCTTTTCCAACCAGTGTCCCTGGCAATGAAATCCCCAGTACCTCCTGCAGCCTGATGGCTAAGGGCATTGTATGTTCATTCCCAAGGCTTATTGTATATATAATACAAGAAAATGTTTTCCTTATTAGTTTTTTTTTAATTGAGTCAGGAAGAGAAAGAGAGACAGAGGTTTATTAAAATAACAAATAAGTTGTTCTTTTGTGAAAGCCTTCCTCTACTTATTGTGGCAATTAGAAAGAATTCTAATTTCTCTGTTATATTAGTTTATGGAGAACAAGCTTACTCTTGTTCAAGTAGCTACACTATCATAGAAAAGGCTAGAAAGATGCCATGGAAGAAATTTTATAAAGGCCAGTTTTAAACCAGATGTTTGGGGGTGATTTCTTTGTGCCTGAAAGCAGTTTGTGGGTGCCTTGTGAAACATCAGAGGAGTTTATCCTAACTTAAGGTGATATTGTTATTAATACAGGATCTTAATCGCTATATTGAATCTCACTCAGCTATTTATTTGAGTAAGACTCAAGTATTTTCTTTTATTGGAGTTTGTTTGCCTTTTCATTTTTATAGGTGGTTGCTACTCTTTTATTATAAGAAAGAACAAAGACATCTGCTTTACCTTTTCAAGAGCTCTTATCTTTATATACCTCTGTCAGATCACCTCCTGCCCCTCTCTCAACCTTTCTGCCCACTGAGTTTTAATAAATATGTGAAACATCTCCTTTAGCACAGATGGGTATTGTCACCTCAATATATATTCCTACATACTGAAAATAAACCATGTTTTTCTTCTCTTTGACTTCTGTCTTTTAGGTTCAATTTAGTGGCAGCACCATCCCTCTCACATATGGGTACTTTATTTCATGAATACCTAGAAGAAAGTATGCTCCTTCCATGATTTGGCGTGTTCAAATAAGAACTTTTTTTTCATGGTAGCAGACTATTCCTTCGTACGGGGCTTTCTGCAGTATCATTTTTACCTGTGTAACTCAGAAAACTGTCCCTTGATATTATTTCAGCTAGATAAGTTCATGCTGAACTCAATACAGAAGAAAGATTCACAGACATTAATTCTGATTTCTGTTAGAGCACGTTATAGAAGCAGCATTGGCTACTCTTCAGTCATCTTGTCTCAGAAGAGAAATTTGAAGTCTCTCTTTTAGATGCTACCTTAAGTAGAAGAGAGAGGTTGTGCTGAATCCCAGTTGCAGAATGGCTTTTTGGTTTAGTCTTTGTCATCTTTTTTTTCCCCCATTTATTCCCTAAATACTGCAGAGTCATGTCAAGGAGTACAGTTTCATCACCACATTTTACTCTGACTCCAGACACTTTTCAAATCAAGTCAAATTGCTACCCCTACTTTTTATAAGGGGCTTGATCGTATTCTGTGTCCTAGATGCGCTTTGAAAAATGCATCTGTAGTTGAGCTGTCTGAGGGTTCTGATGGAGAAACTACTACTTTACAGACTGATTAAGTATAAATAACCTGAACACTAATCTACAGGGTCTGGCTGAAACTGTAGAGGAGACGTTTAGAAGTTTAACTCGGTTCCTGGGAAGAGTAAAGCAGCTATGCTACTGTTAGATGTCAGTACATAAATTCCAGTTAAGTCCTGTGTGAGTCACCTACTTTTTTTTTTTCCCCAGTCTTGCCTGATGTGTGTGTTAGCAGTTCTGTCCTTTCATTCTGAAATTAATTCTGAACTTGTGGGTAATTATTGTTTAGAAATTTTTGCTACAACATACCAGCTTACCAGTCTCGCCGTGTGCCTACATGCCCTTTATTCTGCTTCACCTTCATGAAGGATGAGTCCTGAGTATGGGTCTCTCTTCAGTTTTCTCTGTACTTGATATTAAATAATGAAAGTTTACAGAAATGATCTGCCACATTCTACATTTCCTTCTCTTCAAAGCCTATCATTTGTAGATCTTATTTGAGTTTGGTTTTAATTACTGGATATTCTTTGCATTATGTAAGTTATCACTACAAGTTCAGTTGACTGAAACAGAGATACAACAGTATAATAGGATCAAATATTTGGGAGATGGAAGTAGACTAAATCAAGCTTAAAATAAAACATCCTTACCTGGGAGAATGGTTAGCCATTTGAACGGTTTACTGTGGTTCATATGGATTCTCCATCACTGATGTTTTTTTGAGACTAGATGTTTTACTGAAAGATAAAATTACTGAAAGATTAAACTAAGAATTGGTTTAGGGATGTCTTACACCATGTATAATACAAAAGACCAGATCAGAAGATTAAGGGGATCATCTCAGTCCCACTTTAGGAACCCATGGGGTATAGTTGAGTTCAGATCCTCTTCTACAAAGCTGGAGGCTGGTTAGTGCCCTTTGTCGCTCTGTTCTTGGTGTCTGTCTCCTTTCTTCTGACTGGTGCAGGGAAATTCAGTAATGCTTATCTGCAGCAGGTTCTGTTCTGCTGTGTAATACACAGACAAGGCTTCCTATGATTCTCCATCTGCCCTATATCCTGCTTTGATTCTTTTTCAGAGTGGAGTAAATTCAAAAGCGTATTGCCTTGGTGTTATAGGTTTGCATTCTGCTTAGGGAAAAAAGGATTGTGTGTGATAGAGTAGCTGTGTTCAAGAAGGCTGATTGTAAGATCTCCGAGATCACCCTAGGTGGATCAGATTGTACACTTCAAAAGCTTAAAGATGTGAAAATGTGTCCCTTTGTTAATTTGAATTAGCTCTCACTACATAAAACCTGAAGGAAAAATTAAGATCTTGATTTGTTAGCCTACCTGCCTGAAAGAATGTTCATGCCTCTAGCCGATGTTACATAGTGAACATTTTATTCTCAGTCGTTGCTTGAACTCGTAAGCCTGACATTCAGAAATGACCATTCAGCTCTGTGGTTTTGCTGACCCTTATGACTGTATTGCTCTTCTCATTTTAGTTTATATTCTTCTGAAGTATCATTCGCATTATTAGGAGCTGGCAGAGAAGCTTGGATAGTCATTACTCAGTGATTATCAATTTAGTCGTTCAACCTCATGAAGATCTGTGTTTCTTTCTGCCTCAGTGCCTGCTTTTCCTTCATTTCACCTAATTCTGTACAAAGTTCAAGGACAGGAACTGTTTGAAAGAGTCCAGCAGGGCCACAGAGATGATGGAGGGAGTGGAGCCTCTCCTGCTGAGGAGCGGCTGAGGGAGCTGGGGCTCTTGAGCTTGGAGCAGAGGAGACTGAGGGGTGCCCTCATTCCTGGGGATCCATTTGGAAAGGGTAGTGTCAGGAGGAAGGAGCCAGGCTCTGCTCTGGGATGTCCAATGCCAGGACAAGGGGCAATGGTCCCAAGCTGGAGCACAAGAGGCTCAAGCTGAAGATGAGGACAAACTTTGTCAGTGTGAGGGTGCAGAGCATGGCCCAGGCTGCCCAGAGAGGTTGTGGAGTCTCCTTGTGTGGAGACACCCAAAGCCCTGGCCGTGTTCCTGTGTGACTGCTCTGGTGATCCTGCTCTGGCAGGGGTTGCACTGGGGGAGGAGCTTTCCAGGTCCCTTCCAACTCCTAATGTTCTGTGTTTCTGTGAAATTGCATTAACCTTTCTGAAGCTCCAAATGCAAAAATGGCCAAGTGGACAGCATAACCATTTTGTTATGTAGAACAGATCTTTAATGTGTTTGTCTTGTGTGGGATTGTACATGCACGTTAGATCTCTTGGTCAGTTTATGTGGTGGGAGGCTGCTATACTTTGAACAATGTGGCAGAGAGGTTTCGTGATGCAAGGCTACAGCCAGGAAGACTGTGCCTCTCAGAGGGGTGCCCTGCTGCAGTACAGCATCCAGGCACTATGAAAAGTACATCTCTTGATGGGGTAAGTTCCTGAAGTCCTAAGGCCTTTGGAAGTCCATCAGCTATTCAGTACTTAGAAACTTTTCAGTATCCCATAGAGATACTAGCCCATAGGGGCTAGTTAAAGTTCTTGCCCATTGGATTTTTTTTTCTCAGTTAAAATTTTATGCTAATATGTAACCCCTGAGTCATCTTTTTTTAAGAAAAAGAATTTTTTAAGAAGTCCGACACAGAACACACTAGTGCTCCATTAGTAGCTCTTATGCTCCTATGGAAGTCAAGACTGTTGAACAGTTTATTAAGCCTATTTTATTAATCTTGACTAAAAAATTCCCAGTGTTAGTCATCATAGAATCCTAGAATTTACTCTGATTTTTCAAAGGCTTGAAATAAGCCCAACAAAAACCTGTTTATAAATAGATACTGCATGGGTTAGTAAACAAAAAAACACAAAACAACAGCAACAAAACGAACAAAAACCCAACCACACAACAGCAACAACAACAAACTCCAAGCCTGGAGCCTTTTGCAATAATGCATTTTTCAAAGGAAGAAATATCCCTGGCTTCCACTAAGATTTTTCAAAATAATGTTTCAGCACTTCAGTTCCTTCTGCTACTTTTCATTTGTCCTAGCAGTATGCCTGTGAGTGACCTTAACATTTTGGATGAATTATGGGACGCAACTCCAGTCTTTGATATGTGATGGAGTTTAGTCTTTGCATGGTGAGATTTGTTGATGCAACAAAAATTACATTCACTTGTAAAGTAGCTCAGTATAAACATCTATTGTATATGTGCCTGTTTTGTTTACTGAAATTTGTCCCTAAATCTTTAAGCCTATAACTGTACGTATTTTGAAACATTCTGTTGTATGGAATCTCATATTTAACAGTTTCATGGGGTTGTTTCTTTGGAAGTAAAAGTGTTTCTCAAGAGCCTTTTTTTCTACCCTCTCCCAGTGAAAAGAGGAGAGCAAAGCCATCCGCTTACCACAAAGCAGTGCCACCACAAAGGAAAGATTAAGGGTTTAGAGAGAGGTCAATGTGGGTTTTTCTCTAACTAAACACTTTCCTAAAGTTTCCTTGTGGAAAAAATAATTAAGTCATCTCAGAGTTTTTAACGAATTTTTATTTCTTTTTCACCGTCTGCATTCGCTTGTCTTCTCAGCATGGATGTTTAATCTTTCTAGGCTTTGTGAATTGGTCCAAATGAATAAGTGGTGAGCTGTCTCTCTAGGAGCTGGAGGCTTATTCTAAGGCCCTAATCACTGAGTAAACACATCTTTGCCCTCCCTCTCTTACAACCGCTATATAATAGTCGAGATTCTAGCACAGTAACCTGGATATTGCAGGGATAGACGCTTTGAAATGCAGAATGGCTGATCCTCAAAAACAGACAGTGCCTGATCTTCTCCTGCCTCTTTCTTCTTTTTAAATTAAATATCACCACAGAAATGCTGTTTTATTGCTTGATATTGTGCATCAGTGCCCTGGATTTTCAAGTTTAGTTTCAGTCAACATTGTTGGCTGCACTTATATGGATCTCTCCATGTTGGGCTTACTAATGGCCCTTCCTGGCACATGTGTACGTGGTTCTGAAGAACATTTAAATTAAATTAGACAAACATTAATGCAAATTACTAATCCCTTTCCCAAAGTCTAATGTTCAAATGTATTCTTCTTTTTATAAACAGTCATTAAGTTTTGTCCAAAGCCAGCATATGAGGTGATAGCTATACAGGTTTTTTTTACAAAGACAGCATGTCTCAAAATTGCATCCCTTGTCTTGTTATATCAATACACGTCAATACCTAGTGTTCAGTGTTACTTCTGGTGAAGAGAGTTGAGATTACTTTAAATAAAAGCCTGAAAATAGCATTTGCCATATTGTCTCAGCAAATATCTTCAAGTAGGATCTTAAAGTAAGTAATATATATGAGTATGGGGGAATGGAAAGTTGTAATTTTCTGAATGGTAGTCATAATTAATTGAATACCAGATATAGGATCATGATCCTTAACCAACTCATAGTTTCCCTGTGTTTTTGTCAGTCTGCTTTCAATCTTTACGTACACACAGACTCACTTTCCAAAAGGTGATCTGAGAATGTCATGGGGACACAGCACAGCTCCATGCTGCTGGCAGTGAAGCTCAAACGTTACTTGATAGGGTTGCTGAAGAATAGGGCACAGATTATTTTGTTTCAAGAGGCCACAAACACCATCCTCAACATCTGCTCTTTGCTAATGGGGTAACTGATGTCATATATCAGTGATCAAAAACTCAATGTGGAATTTGATCCACGTCTCCAATGCCCCTTCCCTTGCGTCTTACACGTATGCAGTGCTGGGGCTCCAGCACCTTGCTCCTCAAGAGGTGTGAGCAGCTGGACTGACTCATGGCCTTTTGACCAGCTGCACATCCACTTAGGAGGTAGGTGAAATGCTGATGTGCTGTGGGCCTCTCCACATCATCCAGCTGGATGGAGAGCTGCCAAACATCCTGCATGCAGTGTCACAGGCGGCTTTGGGACTGGAGGCAGCCGTGTTGTTCCTTACACATTTTCCTCTTTAATTTGGCTACGGATGGATTGATAGCAGTAGACTGTTATTTTAAAAGGTGATTTATAATTCTTTTGTATTGTAGATGCTGTTGCATCAAGAAGCATCTTCCTTGCTCAGGGAATTGTTCCAAATGTTATCTCGATGGGGCAGCAAGCCAAAAAAGTTCACTCATTTCGTCAGCTGAGTCTGTTAATAAGGTTTTTGGGTTTCATTCAAATGTTATTTTCATGTTCTAACCATATAATATATCATGGTTTGGTACTCAAAATAAAATATTAGGAAGCATTGAGAAGACTTACAGATTTGAAAGTCTGGACCATTTGACTTGAAATCTGCTGGGATATTTTTCCTGTGTGCACACACTGAGATACACGGCACCCTTGATAAACACCATTGGGTGTAGTAATACACAAATCTGCAGAAGAACTTTAAATTACTAGACAATCTGAGGAAGTTTTCACTGATCTTTTCTCCTGTCTTTTCAGAGAAAGCTTCTTGCTATCTACCTCCACCATGATGAAAGTGTACTAACCAACGTCTTCTGCTCCCAAATGCTCTGTGCTGAATCTATTGTCTCCTATCTGAGTCAGAACTTCATAACCTGGGCATGGGACATGACAAAAGAAGCAAACAGAGCAAGGTAAGACTCTTTGGACTGTCAGTGGAGCAGCTTTTCTCTCAAGGAAGACCCTTATCTCTGTGTATCAAATCTGTTGTAGCTTGATATGTGTTTGAACTAAAAACTTCATACTCGTTCTTAGCTGATCAGTGAAGCTGTGCTGGCTGATACTCATTCAATTGGACCCATGGTTTTCATTCCAAAGTGACTTCTTATTCTTGTGTAGGACAAAATAGTAAAGTAAATTATTACCTTTTTACTTTTTTAAGTTTATTTTCTTTCTAGGAACGTGTCTTCACCGTTTTGCATTGCAGTGTCATGATATTATGTGACACTAAGTGTATGTATGTAGATGTAACTGCATTGGAACCATCTGGGATAACAACTACTGCTAATGAAAATCTTACTAAAGATAACATTAATGTGATAAATGTGTATTAAAAACAGACTACTTAAAAATTAGAAGCTTGCAATTCATATGAACTTTTTTTTTGAACAAGTGTTGTACAGAACACTCCTTTGGTAACGTTCAGATATTTTGATAGGTTGTAACAAAAAAAAAAGCTCTCCTGTGTCTTAAGAGAGGCCGTCATTTTGCTGATCAGTAAAGGAATTAAAAACCTCTGGATTCCATCTCCTCCTACATCTTTCATGTGTTACCAAAAAATTTCCTTGTCTTTATATTAAGACCTCTCTCTCCTTCAGTTATTTATCGGTTGATTATAATCTATTGAAAATAATGATTTTATGATTATAGTTATTATATTTAGAAATGAGACTTGTTTGGTTTTCTTACTTGGACCTTATTTCGTCTCCTTTATTTACACAGAAGACAACTGTTCACCAGGATAATATCTTGAGTATATTACTATAATGAGTGTTATTCCAGCTTTTGAACAGAAGATGCAACAGTCATTTGGTCAGGGATAAGTTTGCCACTTTTTTTACACAGTTCTGTTGGTTATTGAATGATTAGAAGTACGTATTTATGTTTTTTTCCCTTTTGGATTGCTAGAAATTTGGTATCTTTATAGAGCATTAATGCATACCTGTTCTTAAATTCGTCAGTTATAGTTAATATTTCTTTACTGAAAGTGGGCATGAAGAACAGAACAACCACTTTTTCTAATATGCTTTTTAAATTACACTTGTGTTTCACAGGAACTCCTCACTCGACCTTCTGCGTTTCGTCTTTGGACGAATCAGCAGCTATGTTCCTAGTTTAAATTGTTCTAGGGAAGAGTTAAAGATTATGGAAAAAAAAGCAGTTGCAAAAACAGATAAAAAGTTTTATCTGGAAAAGAAGAAAAGGAAAAAAGAGAGAGGAAAAAGAAACATCCAGGTTCTTTCATGAGACCAAATACATAGAGTGAAAAGTTGCTTAAGTCTTTTGGTATTACCATTCATGGGCAGCAAGGAGCCTCCTCCTTTTCTTTTATCCCACACGTTGGTGTAGAAGGAAACACTATTTCTAAACCATCTGTAGTGGCTAAGTTCTGTTGACTACCTGCTGTTCTATTGTTTGCTTTTCTATTTAATTCTCTTGTTTCTTTTATTTTACAATGACAAAAAATTGCAGTGTAGTTTCTTTTGAAAAACTGTGTTTGAGGGTTTTTTTTATGACTGACGATCAACAGCCATGTAATTGCTTTGTTGTGTTTTACTAAAGAAATCTCTTAAGTAGCACAACTTTGATACACTAGTAATAAGAGTTTGCAGGTTACAGAGACACCTGTGGTGACCAAAGCGACAGAAGCTGCTTATTAGAAAGAGCCCGTACAGCTGTGTCCTATTAACTCCTTATGACACTTCTTAAAACACAAAATAAAGGGCTTGTTTAAGGCTTTATAGCTATTCTCAATGAACCTAGTCACCGATTGTGCGGTACAACAGGGTTTTTAAGCCTACATTTTTTGCTTTCTGTTAACAACAACAAAGAAACTGTCATATTAACAAGTGAGGTCAAAAAATAGTAAAGGGTAAACAAGGCACACTGGCTCAAATTAGAATAATTTCTCAGTTGTGTTTACTGTCACATCCTACTCCTTAGACTGATTTCTTTAGAGGGGGCATGGTGCTTCCTTCTCCATTTGGAAAGTGCCAGTGCACTGTAGGCATTCCCATAAATACTCAGTACCGCTGCTTAATCGCTACCCTTCATTATGTGACACAACGGCAGTGGTTTTGGAGCCTGTTCTGCTCTGTGTCCCCACAAATTCAGTTGCATGTAGCTTTTTATTTGGATGGAGAGAAGACAACAGCAAGGACAAGAGAAGGAACTGCCTTTTGCATGCTGGTGTAGCCCAAGAACGACTTCTTTGTGCTGTTACAAGTGGAAAAGCCAGGATGGGAAGCAGAGGAATCAGGCCCGCTCTATTTACAGCAGTCAACAGGGACACCTCAATGTCAGGAGTAAAAGGCACATTTTCAGTACTGTAATATGGCATGAATGATTTCAAACAGATGTACATACTTTCTTATATAAGAAAAAAAAGGTTGTTATTTCTTCTTGCTCTTTGCTGTCCTCTTTCTGACATCTACAGATGTTAGTCTCTTCCAAAAACAGTCTTCATAGTAGTTTCCATCTTTCTCATTGATGAAGTGGGAGTCTACCATATAACAAAAACGGCTCCAAAATCTTGTAATTTCCCCTGATTTTTAATATGTTTCTTACCTTCAGTGATGTAGGGATGTGCTTTGAATCCTACATTACTGTACACAAGTGCATTTCAGCTGGATTGTCTCAATCTTGTTCTTCAAAGTCCATTGCAGTGGAGTGAGGGGATGTTTATGTAGGTAGGACTAGCGGTAAAACGCTGTGTGCAGGTGCTAGGGTAGCTGTAAGCAGTAGTGCAAGAGCGTAAGCATTATAACTTAGGGTGTTAGATTTTAAAAATTTCTAACTACAGCCACCCAGGACTGTTACTTTGTTGAACTGAAGGAGAACTCTAGTTAATATAGTTAAGAGGATGTTAACTACTACTATAACTACTTGTTATAGTCCATTCAATTTGGGATGAATCATGAGGTTAAAAATTGCAGTTTCTTCTCCATTGCATGTTATGGAGATTTGCTGCCGTGCCACTCCAGACAGCAGAAATACGCTGTACTGGGAGTCGTCAGGGCAGTAGTAGAGGTGTTTGACAGTGGTGGTGTTGCCAATTCTGGCCCTGCTTCTCAGTCCCAACACAAGACTGCAGCAGCTCACCAGCTGTGTTGGGCCAGCACATGGGCTAAGTGATAGATAGGCAGGACATGAGCAGCTATAGTTCTGGTACCTTCTGACTTCAAAGGGTTGACTGAATACTGTTACTCTAATAAAATCATGTGTGTGTGTATATGTGTTTGTGTGTGTAAGGTATACAAACATGTGCCTAACTGTTTTTGTTAAATCATTAATAAACTTTAATATAATTAATATATTTTTATCCAGGACATCTATATACACCTACCTATGCACACATACCCTTATGTTTGTACACACGGCATTTACAAACATAGATTATGTCTAATATTAACAGATTTCCAATGTACATAGTGTTTGCCAAGCAAAGCAATGCCAAAACCATAGAACAGTGACTCGAATGTCTGTAGCAGCTTTTTAGCTTTTGATATGGTTGCCCTTGGGCGCTGTATTTCAAGGTGTTGCCAACTTTTCTCAAGCTCTGATGACAGGTACTTGTTAGTTTTAATGTTCAAATGATAGTTATTTTTCACTTTACTTAAGCTTAGGAAAGAGTTAACCGACTAAAGCACTTCTCAGCAGCAGGTTGTCTTCACCTGCAATTTCCGTCATCAAGTAATTAGCCATATTCATAGTTGCTGACCCTTAATACTAACCCACTGAATGATGCATGCCTGGATGAAGACCAGTTGGCCATATTACTCCAGCTCCCCAATCCTATTTGATCCTTCAGCAAATATATTGCAGGTGTGGGGTCTGTGAGATCTGGACTTGGTGAGTTAATTTCTCAGTGCCTCTTCAGGAGTGACTGTAGATTCTGTGTATGTTGCTTGCAAAACCGTTGAATGGGTTCTTTAGGCACTAAATCCTTAACAGGTTTCACAGAACAGTGTGAAAACCTTTTCTATTGTCTTTTGCAATATTTTATTTAATTTACTTTAATAGCAATACAGTGCCAGTCAATAAAAACAGGTCAAAAGTATAATTAATGTTTTAAAAATAAAGGTTCTCAAACACCAGGCGAGTTTCTGTATGGTTTGTTTTAAGGAGGAATTGGAAAGAAGGTGAGGAGGGAACCCTTCTGTTCCATGATTACATCCCACCCGCTCATTTTCTCCTTTTCTCCTTTGCTTTTGATTTTGGTGTCGGTCTTAACAGAATGTCAAGATCAATTTGCAGCATGGTTTAACTCAAGGTTTGCATTCTGCCAGCAGCGATTGTCCTAACGAACAATGCCGTGTGTTCTTGTAACTTCAGAAGCTTTTAGAAGGCTCATGGCAAGGGCAGCATCTAATGACTTTATTAGTGTAGGGTTTCAAAATGGGTTCGGTAATTGTTCGCATCTCTTTGTCATCTAGTCATAATTACTGCATAGCATTGTTCGGGGTTGCGCTTGTGAATAGTTTCCTAATAGCACTGAAATGAAGAAAAAAGGGAAAGGATAAAAGGTGATTGTCTGTTTAGATGGAGAACAAAACAGCCTGTATATAGATGATGGTTAAACTGTTTATTATACACCCACCAGAAAAGGTAAACTATTCCTCCTTAAATATTTATGTGCTTCAAGGTAATTTCATGTTAGTAGTCTAAAAATGTCCGAATTTGGAAAACTAAAAACCAGCAGAGAATGCATTTTAATCGTCATTAGTAAGATATGGATATCTCCATAATATTCAACTATAAATAGAAATTAGTCTCTCTGTTGACGTGACTGTGTTTTTCAGTGCATCATTTTTTATGCCTATGGCAATGCTTTAAGGTCATCTGAAAAAAAAACCAACAAAAAACCACAGGAATTATCTAAACTGATACATTTGTAAGCATATATTTTAAGTCC